AGCGACCAGGAGAAACGCACACTCAATGGGCGGCCAGGATCAGAGGATTAGCGACTCACTGTGCATTCAAGAACTTGGAAGAAGCCTTGCTAGATAAATTTATCATGGGCATGGTGGCAGGACGTGAGCGGGAAAAACTGTTCGTGCAAGACCAGCGGGAGCTGACACTTGCGAAGGCCATTGACTTGGCAGAGAGCGTGCGCTGTGCGCGCCAGGCTTCGGCGCAGCCAGCACCTGGCGTGTGCGCCGCCAGCGCACCGGGCCCCGACGTCGTCTTTAGCATTTCCAAGAAGGAAAAGTGTAACGTGTGTGGATTCACTAATCACAAGTCTGATCAGTGTCGGTTTAAAAACTATAAGTGTAAAAAGTGTAATAATAAAGGTCATTTACGTAAAATGTGTCCTAACGAAAGAAAAGTGAAATACGTGGGTGAAGGTACTGTGGATGACGGAGACGACGACGGTGAGTGTTTTTATAATATTCGTTGCGTAAAAGGAAAACCTATGACGGAGCGTGTAATGATCAGTGGTCTAGCTTTGGAGTTCGAAATTGATAGTGGTTCAGCGGTGAGCGTAATATCCAAAGATACCTACAACATTCATTTCAAGCGATTACCGTTATCAGCCACCAACAAAAAACTATTTAGCTACACGGGAGAAAACATCAAAACGATCGGAATAGTTTTATTACCCATATCTTATCTCGGGCGTACGCATACCCTCAACGTGTATATAGTGCACGCAAGCGGACCGCCGCTGTTAGGCCGCGATTTCATTCGGGCGTTCGACCTGGAGTTAGTGCCGGCGCGCGTACACGCCATGTTTGACTCAGAACAAACGGTACGCGAAGCTAAATGGATAAAAAACTTAGTAACATGTTCCCAAAAGTTTTTTCAGGTAACCTCGGAGCTTTCAACAAATATAAAATAGATTTACATTTAAAACCCGACGTTAAACCGATTTTTTTCAAAGCGAGGCCAGTACCTTACGCGTTAAAAGAAAAAAAGACAAGGAGCTCGACAGATTATTGTCATTAGGTATCTTACAGCCTGTTGAACACTCGGAGTACGCGTCGCCTGTTGTGCCGGTTTTAAAAAAGAACGGTAGCATCAGATTATGTGCCGATTACTCTGTTACAATCAATAAACAGTTGATAATAGATCAGTATCCTTTGCCGACGGTAAATGACTTGTTAGCCAAATTACACGGGGGCGTACAATTCAGTAAAATTGATTTATCTATGGCTTATAATCAGTTCATTTTGAATAAAGAATCTCAGAAGTTAACTTGCGTCAATACTCACCGCGGTCTTTTTAATTTCACTCGATTGGTATTTGGGTTGTCCAGCGCGCCTGCCATATTCCAGCGCGCAATGGAGTGTTTGCTCTCAGGTATCGATGGAATCATATTTCTACTTGACGATATTCTTATAACCGGAGAAAATAAAGACCAGCACATGCAGAGACTTATCACTGTTTTGCAACGCTTGGATGATGCCGAACTAACGGTGCAGATGAGTAAATGCGAATTTTTTAAAGATGAAATTTCATATCTCGGTCACGTCATAGATAAACATGGAGTTAGGAAGTCGCCCGATAAAGTTAAAGCTATATTACAAGCTCCTAAACCGACAAACGTGTCACAGTTGCAGTCGTTCCTAGGACTGACTAATTATTATAGGAACTTTGTACCGGACGCATCGTCCGTATTAAGTCCATTATATAATTTATTAAATAAAAATACGAAGTGGGAATGGACTCGCATTCACGATGACTCATTCAATCATATAAAAAACATATTAGCATCTGATAAAACATTAGCGCATTTTGATCCACAGGCAAAGTTAATATTAACAGTAGACGCGTCGCCGACAGGGTTAGGAGCTGTACTATCACAAGTGGGCGAAAACGGGTTAGAAAGGCCGATATCTTATGCTTCCCGGACGTTGTCGTCAGCAGAAAAAAATTACGCGCAAATCCAAAAGGAAGCGACAGCGATAATTTTTGGGGTAAGACGGTACCACCAGTATTTATATGGTCGGTCCCAGCCTTTCGTACTAAGGACAGACCATAAGCCCCTGTTAGCTATATTCGGGCCCCATAAAGGTATTCCCGAGGTATCGGCAAACCGCCTACAGAGATATGCTATATTTTTAGCTGCGTATAATTACACTATTGAATACATCAGTAGTAAGCACAACAGCGCGGATTATTTATCTCGAGCATACGGGGATGAGAACGTGACGCAGGCGCCGGACGAACTCGCAGAGTGCGAGGATCGCGCGGCGTACGTTAACTTCGTAATTGATGGGGACTTACCGATTACGTTGAGCGACTTGCGTAGTGAGACGGCTCGCGACACTCGGCTGACATCTGTCAAGCATTATATTTTAAACGGCTGGCCTAGGAAGATACATGACGCAGAGTTAAAACCATTTTTTAATTGTCGAACACAATTATCATACGAAAATGGTATCTTAATGCGCGGACATAAAGTCGTAATTCCATCGGTTTTTCAGGAAAGCATATGTAGGGAACTGCATAGTTCACATTTCGGTGTGGTAAAAATGAAAGCAGAAGCTCGCAAGCGGCTGTGGTTTCCCGGTGTGGACGCAGAGCTGGAGCGCATAGCGGCGGCGTGCGGCGTGTGCAGTGCACTGCGGCCCGCCCCGCCGCACGCCCCACTCGCGCCCTGGCCGTTGCCGCCGCATCCTTTTTATCGGATTCACATAGATTTCTTGGGTCCGATTCACAATAACATGTTTTTAATTATTGTAGATGCGTACAGTAAATGGGTTGAGTGTTACGATATGTCATCATCACATAACTCCAAGGCGGTTATAAATAAATTATGTGATTTGATGTCGCGATTTGGAGTCCCACACACCTTGGTGAGTGATAACGGTACATCCTTTACATCCTTAGAATTTAAAGATTTTTGCAGTCTTAACGGTATCGAACATGTCTTATCGCCGGTATACCACCCGGCTAGTAATGGGCAAGCCGAAAGCTTTGTCAAAATAGTAAAAAAGGGGCTTAAGGCTATTATTTTCGAGGGGTGTAATAAAAAAACTATTAGTGAAAGGGTTTCGAAATTTTTATTCGATTACAGGAACTCTAAAAATAGCACCACTGGCAAGTCACCCTCAGAGATTGTATTCGGGCGTGCGTTGCGCTCGCGACTAGACTTGTTGAACACTAGCACACCGACACCGTCACCTTCGTCCACAGACCTAATTCAGACCGTCGCGCGTAATCAGTCCTTACAGGCTAAATACTATCGTGGTGTACAAAGACCTAATTATAAGCAAAATGAAAAAGTTTGGATCACAAAAAATACTAACAATAAGAAATACAGTTGGATTGAAGGAATTATTAAAAGACAAATCGGCAACGTACTGTACAGTGTGTACATCCCGCAATTGAGGTCTGAGGTCAACAGACACACAGACCAGATAAGGAAAAGAGTGGACACTACACCGAGCGACGACTTAAGCTGGGACCCGGACTTGATACCGGATGTGGCACCACTGACTATCACTCACTCTGAGAGAGTTCCACCGCCGGAAGGGGAAGGAAGGCCGGAGCCGGACCCTGGACAAGGGGCGACGTCGTCAGCTACACCGGTGACTCCACCACGCACCACCGCCTTAACTCAAAGGCGACGGGCTATAAGTCCTATCTTCTCAACACCTACAGAAAGCCAGTATGTCAGTGATGATAGTGATAGGACGAACCAACTGATACTTTAAACTATAAGGGGTATGATTAAGTATAATTAGTTAAAAGTATTCATAGTTTAAGGGGGAGGGATGTTATGTATGTATGTATAGATGCAAAGGTAGAATGCGGGCTGCGCCCCGCTTCCCCGCTCCGCTATGAAGTTTAGATAAAATAAACCAGTGTGCAACTAACTAGCGAGTTTAATTGGCGTGCGCATCGTTCCCTTACAAGGAGATACTTAACAAATACCAACTATAATGTTAGGTTTTTGTATAAGTAACTGGTTAAATTATGGGAGTCACGGAAATATTAAAACCTTAAAAATTGTTTTAGTGTGAGTAAATCATAGGAGAATGTGCGCTGTCGTTTAATGAATAAGGCTTATATTTGAATTACTGAGTTATCGATGCCGCGTGTGAGCACTTATTCGTTGTATTATTTTGTCAGAACAGTGTGTGTAATATTAGTTTTATGGAGGGGCAGTTGTGGCTTCACCGGTTTTGCATACATTTTTGACTTCACATCATATTTCCTTCTTTATTATATCTATGATGGGATATCCTTCTTTATTATAGATTTGCTCGACTTGTTTTGCGAAGTCACGCCCCATGTCGAGAGTCACATATAGGTACTGCTTAAAGTTCACGATTGTGTTTCAATCGTGTAGCTTGAAATAAGTCAAGCAACCTTCTCAAACAGTAAATAAGTCGTGTTACTAAACTAATGTGATTGGAAACCTTTTAGTTACTTATAGTAACATATATAACATAACATCACGCCTTTTATCCTCGGAGGGATAAGCAGAGGTGCACATTATGCCACTGTACAATGTAACACCCACTTTTCACTATTTATGTTATGAGTCCCATGTAATAAGGGGTGAACCTATTGCTATATACCGGGCACAATTCTAGGCTCCGTGCTACTACTGAGATTTTTTTTAAAAACCCTTTAATACTTTGCCCGGCCCGGGAATCGAACCCGAGACCCTTTACCCTGCAGTCGCACTTGCGACCACTCGGCCAACGAGGCAGTCTTACTTATAGTAAAGTCACAGTAAACTAAACATAATATCTTACTGATATTTACTGGTGTTTGTCAGTACCTACTCAATTATGTCAAAACGGCTAAAAGTGAACCAGGATGAAATTTGGTACAGGCGTAGATTATGGACTAACAAATAGGGTACTTTTATCCCACAGGAATGCGAGCAAAGCCGCGGGCAGAAGATGTAGGTACATGTAGGTAAGCTGCTAGAATATTTTTGTTTGCCCCTTACCTTTAAATCGCCGGGAAACTTCTGAACGAGTTGTTCGATGTATTCATAGATCTTTGGGTGTCGATAAATGTTCGTGCAATGCCATAAAGAGTTTATTTGCTCTTGTAACGCTCCAACCACTTTGCTGTAAACAAAAATAGACATTATTATTGTGTTCATACGACATAATATTACGCAGTTTGTCTACTATTACACTATTGGGTCTGTACATAAGACACTTTTTTTAAGAGGGGAAAATCATCGAATGACTGCTCCCGCCTGGTTGAGGCGGGAGGGTGTGTCAGACGCTTACCGACTAAAAACCACCCCGTTCCTTCTCCTGCACGTCGAGCCGGAGCCCCGGTAACCCGTTAGGTTCTCCGCGACACATAACACAGTTTGCCATAATCTTTAGACTTGGCAGGGTTGGAGGTGGCAGTTTATCAGAGGGCACTGCTGCCCAGTCTCTGTCAAATGTGTAGTTTTGAAGTCGGTTCTAACGACACTCGCGGGAAGAGACTAGGGTGGGTGACATAATAAAATGTATTGTACATCTACTATGGCATCATTAGTATGTAGTATCACTACACGGCGTGGCGTAGGTACTGTATATTAGGCATTCATACAATACAAGCACATTATGTGCGTTGATAGATACGTACCTAAGCAGAAACGCGTGATAAACGGGTAGTGTGAATAGCACAGAGGTCATATTATAAGGTCATAACGTTAAAAGGGATTTTCACATTTAATTATTGAGGTGATTGTAACATAAAATTGAAGTCAATAAATCGAGTTTTTCATTCGTGGCATCGCTATTCGGAAACTCCTTGTTTGCTATGAAATTAGGACGATGAAGTGAAGAAGTAACATCATCACGCCTCGAAGGAGTAGGCAGAATGAATGAATGCACAATGTATAATGTCACACCCACATTTCATTATTTATGTTATGAGTCCCATGTAATAGTATTTATTATGCCTATTTCAATTCTGACACAAAAACAATTCTTTTAATAAAACAACTAAGTAAGTAATAAAAAAAATGAAAACTCAAAAATTCAAAAAACGAAATGACTGTTGTACGCAGGTACACTCACGGTCAATGACCGATAGCATGTTATTTAATAGGTTTACATATGCATGGATTTAATTAACATTTATATTCATTTAGCCATTGAACATACGCACAAGCACAATGGATTACGTTAGCACAGTAATAGGTAATTGTTGATAGGTCATAAAAACTACTATCCGAAAAATTACCTGAAATTGGGATGATGACAGGGTATTCAGGCAAATAAAAAATAATTACATTTTTAATTTACCTGAATAGTATATAATAGTATATAGAGGTATAATACCTTAATCCGTAAGTTAGGTAATGAAAAAATATTAGACATGTATTTTTTTATTTTGTCGTATAAAAAACAATACCTAAATAAAACGAATCAAAGTCGTCATTTCTACGTATAAAATGTACATAGAAATGACGTCACGAGACATTTCAAATCAATATAATATAATATCGTCGAAAGTATTCGTTTCTGTAAAAAATACGTGTCTAATGATTTAAAATAATTTACCAGACGGACATTAAAAATAAAAATTACGCATCTACCCTATTGATCGGTATCTTCTCGATGCTCTGTGATCTATGTCAACGGCTTCTAATGCCTAAAAAAATAATGTAGGTACTGCAGCATCTAAGCCTAAAGGCAGGTCGCAGTATCCTTTAAACTTTTGGTAACCTAACTTTTGATCCCCAATCCAAATCCCCAGCGAGGAGACTAAGGAAATCTCTCTAATGGTAGCAGAAGTCTTTCAGTTGATGATGATGATGATGATAAATCGATCAATGGACGGCACGCCGTAAAATGCAGGTCTTGATTAGTTTACGGCTTAATAACCGCAAAACCAAAATTAATGAGAATAAAATTACGGGACAAAAGCTACTAAGTTCTCCAACTACTTACGGATGGCAATGGCCGACGGAGACTGTGACGATTCCACCAAAAAGGTCCAGATACCTTCGACCTTCGTGGTCGAACAGCCACTGTTTGTGACCTTGATGCAGTAGCAGAGGGTTCTTGTATATGTTGTACACTGCTGGCGGGATGTGCTTACTCTTCAGTGCCTCGGTCTTTTGAAATGCTGGACCCTAAAACAAAAAGTTTGGGTTAGTCTTGAGATAGTCGGATTCAGAGGAATTTCCTTCCACGAACCCTACGATTATGAAATGTACTCCCTGCCGAGGTTTTTCCAGTAGGCTGCAAAATGGGGTTCTTCAAGAAGGGAGTAAATAAGGGGACGGCATCAGCAAGGTGCATGTAATGCCATAAATGTTGCAAGCGTTTATAGATTACGGTAACCATTTACCATCAGATGGGCCGTGTGCTTTTCTTGCCAAAGTCGGCTTTTCTCGCCAAAATACTGTTTAATAGGAAGACTATCGAGATCGAAATCGATTCTTGAATAAAATTGGATATGTAACCCCCTACATGGATATGCAGCGGGTGCAACACTAGAAAAATACTCATTTGTGATGTTACGAGTTGTTTATTAGAAGTAACATAACATAACGCCTTTTATCGCCGAAGGGGTGGGCAGAGGTGCACATTATGCCACTGTACAATGCAACACCCTCTTTTCCCAGACTCCGTGCTACTACTGAGAATTAAAAATCCAGTAATACTTTGCCCGACCCGGGAATCGAACCCGAGACCCCTTGCTGGGCAGTCGCACTTGCGACCACTCGGCCAACGAGGCAGTCATTAGAAGTAATATTTTATAATTACCTACATTATTAGTTACTATTTAGTTTGTTCCCATAATATTTATTAAATAACTATTTAAATGTTTCAGAAACCTGAAGTTCAGCAGGACCTACCTACCTACCTAACTGAAAATTCACAGAATGCAACTTGGGTTTGATAAAAAATAAACAGTATGTAAGTGGATCCGAATAAAATTTGGCATAGAGGTAGATTCATTGCTTAAAATGGGGGATAAAGCCGATGACACAAGTTAGTGTGCAATAAAAAAAATATTTAAAAAATAACTTACCGCATATTGTTTCGGTATGAAGTCAGATTTCGGAAGAGTTGGCACCTTTGTGCTATATTTCCTTGCTAACGTCTTGTAGCTAAGTTTTGCAACTGAAATTGACACAAATATATAAAGAAAATAAATAAATAAACCATCCCCTAGTGACTTCTTCTCACAGTTTTAAGGAATTAAAATAATTTTTCACGAATTCTGACCCAGAAAACTATAAATCCTCGTTTCCTAACGATGTTATACTTCACCGTATATTTGAATTAAATATAAACACCGTTTATAATTGAAAAGGTAAAAAAAAACTTTCGAATAACCGAACTCAGCACAACACTTATTCTTTTTGGTATTTTGGAAGAGCACACACAGAAATTTTATTCTTTTTTAGTTTAAGAAAATGCGTATTTATTAATAGGTACCTTTATCAGCCATCGTGTTCACTGCGCGACGGCCAACGTATTACTGAATTGAATTGAATCGATGTTGGGCTGCCCCCCGTGGAACGATACATATTTACACACTACTATATTATCATCGTAAAGGTCTATTTACATTGCATTGTTATATAAATCAATGATAATTTTATTTTCTGCCCACTTTGTTGGCAGTGGTAGAAAATCGCAAGCGCCGCCACTGACAAGAAAGTTGCTTTACATTTGATTTTGGGCATAAAGCATTATTGAGTTTTTCGGAAATTCTGCAATAGCACAGAATAAAGTTACCTTCTGACATTTGGCCATAGGCTCACTTAGATAGCATGGGACTCATACAATGAATAGTGAGAAGTAGTTTTTTTTTAAGGAGGGAAAATCCCGCCTTTAACGGCTTCTCTCCGCCCGAGTGAGGCAAGAGCAAGAAGTGTCAGACTCTTACTGACTAAAAACCATCCCGTCCTACTTCTGCTCTTCGAACTGAAGCCTTGGCAACCCGTTAACACCTCAGTGCGGTTAACTCGTGCACCTTTGCTTATTCCTTCGACAATCAAAAAGTACTTTAATACCTTTATATTTTTTTCATGTTCTCCAAATTAAAAGATCAAAAATGAAACAAAAATATATTTATTAAACACAGAATTATCCTTATATATATATGGGAAAGTGAGTTTGTTTGTTCCACTTTCGCGCCGTAACTACTAAACCGTTTGCTTTGAATTTTTGCAGACGTGAAGTTAGAAGTTTGGATTAAATAATAGGGTACTTTTTATCCCGGAAAAAATTGATATTCGCGAGGGAAAACGAAATTATTGGTATGGATGGCGCTGTGTGTATCGGTATATGTCACATAGGCTACTTTTTATCCGGGGTATCCGCGGGTAAAAGTTAGTACCTAATAAAATGTCTTGAATCTTGATGGTTAAATAGTCAGAAGCACTAATGCCGAGCATTGATCTCAAGTCGTGCAGATAAATAATTGAAGTCTTTAAATAAGTCAGCATAAAACTCGCTGAAAAATAAACTCAACGGTGAAAGAATTTTTCAAATCGATCCAGTAGTTTCGCAGCCTATTCAATGCAAACAAACAAACAAACATACAAACAAAGAAATGTTTTTTCTTTGTTATTCTATAGTTATTGTTGTTTATAGTATAGGAATAAATAAAGAAACACAACTGCAGTAAATATACGCCACAAGGACGTTTCATGTGTGAGTTTAATGACCTCTTGTCTTTGCCCAGCAGTGGGACACAGACTAATACGTAGCAAAAATTGGCACTGGAATTATTTGTGAAGTTTTTGTAGACGCAGTCGTTCCATGGAAAATAGAAATACCTATCTATCTAATACTAGCTTCTGCCCGCGACTTCGTACGCGTAATCCCATTTTTTCCCGTCCCCGTTAGTGATTTTCGGTAAAAAGTAAAAAAAAAAATTTGGTCTAAAAAATCCTATGTCGGTCTCCTGGCTCTAGGCTACCTCCCTACCAATTTTCAGCCAAATCTATTCCGCCGTTCTTAAGTTATAAGTGGTGTAACTAACACGACTTTCTTTTATATATATAGATTATAATTATGCAAAAGTTTGTGAGGATGTGTGGATGTAGTGTAGGCAGTACCATCTTTACCACAGGGAGCCCCGAAAGACCGACCGACCACTCCGTAGTGGTCTGATGGTTCTTTGAGGCGCGTATGCGTATCCGTATGGGGCCCAATAGGGCTGATGTCGATACGAAACCGCGGAGAACCTAACGGGTTATCGGGGCTCCGGCTCGAAGTGCAGGAGTAGGAACAGACTCAGGCGAGAGAAAAAGAGTAACTTATGGAGTTTCTTGCTCGTTCTTCTCCATAGGAATTTACACCTTGGAATGAGCAAATAGCTTCACTTTTAATTTTCTTTTTGTTGACGTTCAAAAGTCCCTTTCTGGCCTAATTGAAATAAATGATTTTGACTTTGACTTTGACTTTGAGAAGTCAATCGATGATTTTCCCCCCTTAAAAAAAAAAATATGTAAAGCTACCGCTTTCACTTCGGTCTAGCCGGCCCATTCGTAGCATTCGTAGCGTAGTTATTCCGTATGATATGACACACGAAAATTAATGTATAAGTTTTTAAATATAAATCTCAATAATATAGGAACTATCTAAGTGATTAATATTGTAATAGGTTTAAGTTTCTTTTTTGTATCCTAGAATGTAAGTATTTTGGCTCTTGCTGTAAACTTTCATTTTAATGTAAATAAATAAGTGTGAAAAAATTGTCCCACAAGAGATTACAAGTAGTTTGCAAAGTGTAAGTGTAAGTGTGTTTTCATGTGTATGTGAATTTGTATGTTTGTAAACGCACCCACGACACAGGAGAAAATCCTAGTGGGAGGCAACGCTTTACAAAAAAAAAAAAAGTTTGCAAAGACACATGGGGCTACTTCTTAACCGACTTCAATAAAGAAGGAGGTTCTCAGTCTATTTGACCTGTATGTATGTATGTGCGCGCTTATCTCGCGATTAGTTGAACCTATTTTCATGCGGTTTTCAGAGAAGGTATATTAATTAACCGACTTCCAAAAAAGAGGGAATTGAAGTAGGTTTTTTAAACGCAGTTTATAAAGAATAAAAAGAATTACTTATTAACTACAGGTAACGCGGGCAAAAGCTAGTAAAGCTATAAATAGAAAACTGCAGTCGATGTAGACATTGTTCGGCATGATAGTGCAAGTTTGAAGGAAAATAAATAACGAGGCAAAAACATCCGATTCACTCAGAAATTTATTTGTTTACGTTTCTCTATGCGTATAGTGTGACGCGTACAGTTATGATCTTGATCCTTGTTTTTATAAAACTCTTCATATTAAGATATTTTTGACTAGCTACTTCCGCGCGGTTTCACTCGCTCTGCTCTGCGCCTATTAATCGTAGCGTGATGTTTAGCCTATAGCCTTCCTCGATAAATGGGCTATCCAACACATAAAGAATTTTTCAAATCGGACCCGTAGTTTCGGAGATTAGCTCGTTCAAACAAACTTTATATAATAGTATAATATATAAGATTCTGACTGCTTTTTAGTCGAGAGGTCGTGAGTTTGTCTGTCGAGCAGGTGATTTCGGGTTTGATTCCCAGGTTGGGTAAAATACAAATAAAAAGGGATGCCTAATAATAGGCGGTGTGTCTATTGCCATGTTGCTAGATTAGGCTTCGTTTCGCAATTATTCATCTACTGAAATGTTTAAAAAAGGGGAAAATCCCAATATATCACCCGATCTGAGATCCCTTGGTCAGTAGTCGCATACACCATTCGACCCGCAGACCCATCAGTGGTTTGATAAATGCCTAATAACGTATGTAATTACGTAAAGTATCAAAATATAATATGACTATTTTGAAATTATTTGCCGTTCTTTTTTTAGACACAACTTTCGTTTGCCCGATCGCATTTATCTGACACGGGTTTATTTATTTTAAGACTGCATAGTACAACAGTGATATAGCGGATTTTTATAGACTAAATAAAAAACGACGTTCTTTTAAATAGTGTGCGACAGAGGGATAGGTCAAAATTCATCTCCATCAACATATGCAGCCTCCATCAATATATATAAGTAGCCCTGCTGATCAAAGGCTTCCTCTCCCACGGAGAAGGTTTGAGCATTAATCACCGTTCAAGTGTGGGACAGCCATGATTCTGCACGAATGGGCCGGCTCGACCGGAGTGATACCATCGTGTTTCGTCGTGTTAATGAGGTTACCGGAGGCTGAAAATGCTACGGGAACGGGAGAAAACGGGACTGCGCGTACGAAGTCGCGGGTAGAAGCTAGTCATAAATAAACAAAAACGATATTAAATTTTACCGTTGAAAACAAAAGTTATTCAACTACACATACATCTTATATATGTATAGTCTTTGAAAACAAAGCTGGTCAATTAAATCGTTTAGAATAGTGACATAGAATCAAATGATGTCACTGCGCAAAGGCAAAGTAATCGAACGAGGCGAATACTGAAGGCGAGGCGTGAGTGCGCGACCAATCACATCACTTGTCGAAGCAAATGTTCCAGTTTCCTTGACACTTCGTTTATCGATTGAAAAGTGTTTATGAATTGATCTTATTGTATGTGATTGTCACTAGGTACCTAAGGTACAGTGACCACCAGATCAATCTACTCTAATATGTCAATTTTTGTCATTTTTTGTTAAAGTGGGAAAATCATCGAATGGCTTCTCCCGCCTGGATGAGGCGGGAGGAAGTGTCAGACTCTTACTGCCTAACAACCACCCCGATCCTACTCCTGTATATCAAGCCGGAGCTCCGGTAACCTGTTAAGTTCTCCGCGGCTCCGTATCGGCATCAGCCCTATTGGGGCCCCATCCGTGGTGGCTCTTTGCGTACGCTCGGGAATTTCTGTCTATGGATTTTCAACTTCATACCCAAATGATAGAGTTGGAAAAATAAAGAGATTTGTCAGAAAAGAGTAGTTTGACCTGCTGCCCACTACATTTTAGACTTATGTTATTTAGACAGGTAGATACTTAGACGGTAATTTTTGGACATTATGAAGACTTAGATACAGATAGGGATATCATATCATTAAGCTACTCCGGCGTTGTTTCACCTATTGCTTGGTTCCTATTAGCCGTAACGTGATGTATTATATATTTATATTATATCCCTAGGATTTTAGATTATATATTTATATCCTCGATAATAGGGTAGTTTCCTCAATTTAATTTTAATGTCCGTCTGGTACATTAATTTAAAACTTTAGACACGTATTTTTTCTTTTCTCACAAAATTATATACTTTTGACGATATATTAATTTGAAATATCGTATGACCTCACAGCGTGCCACATTTTGTAGCACGTTATGACGTAACGACCTCCCAATTCTAAACTTAGCGCCATTTTATCTAGGTATTGCAACTTAATACGAGAAAATAAAAAAATACGTGTCTAACATTTTTTCATTATGTAACTGACGGACTAATTAGGTTTTTAATTTTGA